ATGAGTGACTAACTCTTCCATTTCATATGTGTTACCCATATCGGGTACGTAGTTGAGTTTTGTTCACCTTCGGTCTACAGTTGAAAGTTGAGAGCGCTTATTGCATGAAAATAAATCAGAATATTAGTTGAAATAAGTACATTTTTTTTAAAATTCATAGAGCCATTTTGAATTGATCCATTTATGTTTAAAAATGATTCAATTTCTGTACGCAGGTATTCAAATGACCAGCTAGAAAGTGGAATTTGATACAACCTTAAAGGTAATCGATCTCAAGCAGTCGGTTACGAGCACCTAATATATAATCATAAATAATGGATGCGCACGGCCGCTGGCAATCCATTGCCCTAAGATTATTTCGACTGGAAAAACGTTAAGACCAAGGGATTAGCCTCACTCATTGCGATCAAAAATAGGAGACTCAAGAACTCAAATCCTTTGAGGAAAGAAAAGAGCTGAGAAATTCAAATATGCTAAAGCTTCAGTAAGCTTTAGCATATTTGAATTGTAGTCACCAATCTAGGTTAAAAGATCTCATTAAGTAAAATGTCTATGTTCAAAGGAAATCTCCATAGGTAAAAAAATAAGATAAATATCGAGTCATATAATAACCCAAAAGAAAACATGCAAAACGAAAGAGTTTTTAAAGTTTGAATTCTATCTGGTGAGCTTACAAGTTGTTCTGGGACATAGGGCCTTACCTCAACAAATTAGCCTGGTAACTGCTTCTATGTAAATATCCAAAATATTTTTTTTGTCTGTCATCTTGCTCATAACCTCAAATCATTATGCTTAAGGCTTTATAACTTATGAGTAAAAAAAACTTTAGACTAAAAGTTTATTTGATTTCTATGAAAAATCCAAAGTGTTCCAAAATTGGTAATTCAATCATATTTTTCATATAATTTATTAACTTGAGTAAAACTAACGTTAAATTGCGCGGTATCGAAGTTATATAGTGAAAAAAAATACTTAGAAATATATGCAGCATTGCACCACTTATCATTGCAATTATTATCAATGCTAAATGCTAACTTGACCTATAACAAAATATTCAATCACTTTCTTTTGGGAGTATAATCCTTCTTTAGATGGGAAGCCTTCATGAAGTTTGGCTCAGCTACTGCCACAGAAATGACCGGAAAAAACTTCGACAAATGGCTGAAGGATGCAGGAGTGCTCGACTCGAAAAACATCACCACAACAATGACGGGGATTGCTTTCAGTAAAGTAGCCGGGTTAGTTTCTTTACAAGGGCTTCTTTTTATGGAACATATTCTTTGAGGGAGGAGGAGGTTGTCTGGAATTATGAGCCTGTATGGAGTTTACTAGATACTGAATTTCATGCAGATTCTGGGTAAAATAATGTTAAATTTATACTAAAACTTACTTAAAAGATTGATGCTTTTCATCTAGCACTTTAAGCCTAGCAATCTCTCTTTGGTAGTCAAAGAAGTCTTTGAAACAATTTTTGAAATCTTAATTATCCCTTATTTTTAGCCCTAAAAAGAAGACAAATTTTGAGGAAACTAAGAAGGTTATCATTGGAGTCGCAGAAGATCGCGCTCGGCAAAGCAAGAAAACTGTGCAGGTACA